TTAATTCCCCTGGTCTTAAGAGCTGCAAGCTCTTCTCTTTATTCTGATACAGTTTATTGAGGATGAAAGTGGTGGTCCTGTAAAGAGTTAAGATTGGTCCAGTACTTTAACCACAGTATTGCAGAGAAGCCTTTCACAAAAAATTTGAAAAAAATAAAGGAAAAGTGATAGAAAGGGTGTCAGAAGAGAGCAATGATTTTCCATGGCTCAGAGATTCACATCTTCTCTGCTGTCGGTATCTGTGTAACTCCCACAAGCTTCTGAAACAGCAGAGAGTCATGGCCTGGTATTTTATAGCCATAAGAGAATTTTGTTCATACTGTGCAAAGAAGATAGGACCATGAAAGCTAAGTGCTGAAGCCTGGTGTGGGTGTAAGTAGACTAAAGGAATGATACAATTCAGCTTCCCACTCTGCACCTCTGAATGGAGGCAGCTGCAATGCTGCCAGGTTAATGCTTAAAAGCAGTAAGACAGGGAGTATTATTATTGCTTGATAATAATATCAGCACACAAAGGGGCATGACCTTTCCAGCTGGGGATGCAGCTATGCCTTTTCTACTTCTTTTATGTGTCCAGAAGCCTGTGCTGAAAGGGGAAGAAGACATGGTGCACCTTCTGAAAGACAGTATGAAATAAAGTTTGAAATTCTTGCCTGGCCTTGGAACTCACGCAGTTGTTCCTGTGTTACAGTGTCTTCACCATCACTTCTTGGACATGACATAACTATAAACATTTTCCACATCATAGATCTGGCACGACAAAACCCTTAATTGCTTGCATTTCCTTTTACAAAGTGGTTTCATTTTGAAATGTGTTAATCTACTTATTTTGTCATAAAAGATCAATTGCGTTGGAAAATGCTGGTAAGGATATTCTAAAGAAAGCCCAGTTACCTGTGGAATGCAGTGTAGTCACTTGCGTATTTGGATTCAGTTCTTCAGCAATAGTGCTGTCCTTTGGGAAAATGTACCATTAACACCAAGTTTTGATGGCTGGTTGTTGAAAGGTGATGCTTGAAGATGTAAGAAAATGCTCTGTCATTTAGTTTGAGAAAATTGGAAGGATCCATCTCATGCATGGAATACCTGTTCTTTAATTGAGTTCTCTTGTGTTATTCTTTCTTAGGGATGACTCAGAAAAGCAAGACAATCCCTCTGCAATCTACAGACAATGAAAGTGTGTCAGGTCACCTATCAACTCTCTCTAGTGGGTCTGAATTGAGTAAACTGGAGCAAAGATTTACAACGGACAGTATGGAACACACACTGCAGGTAAGTCTGTTGTATTTCACTCTGTTCTTTTGTGGATATGAAGACGCTGGCTTTCTGATGCACGTGTTTCAGTAAAACTGGTAGGCAAATTAAGCAGGTACAGTGCAGAGCAAGTACTCAGAGCAGAACAGAATATTTTACAGGGACAGGAATTTCTGTTCAAAACCAATGGCCTGTGGTGTTTGCCACAGCCTCTGACATTGACTGACAAGACATTGCAAAGGTAATTTACTTGGCAAAACACTATGATTTTTGGTGAGGAAATGCAGCAATGAGTTACTCAGGTACCACATTAGCTATTCCCAGAGTTGCTTGTAAAAGAAAAGTTGCAGTTAGAATAATTGCTAGATAAAGACACCATGGGAGGAGCATGTAAGGAACAGTGAACAAAGGCTTTTGTACCTCAAGTCTTTTACCTAATTAGATGGTCAGGATAGAGTCTGGGGTTTCTAACTAAACTTGCTTTATGACTGAGATGCAGGTGGAAGGGCAGTAGGTGCTTGCACATTCTCAGAAAGGCATGGGGGGGCGGGCATTTAAGTGCTTTCTAATGCTTTTAGTCCTGTTGGTCTGGAAATCAACATGGTTTTCAAAGCTGATGATTGTTACTGTTAGCTGACTGGTTTTTTAACATTTCATTTATGTCAGTAATTTACTTGGACAGCAGTGTGAAGATAATGGAGTTAAAGTAATGATTCTGTCCTATTGCTCACAGCAGGCAAACATTTTCTTGCTGTTAAGAAACGTGGCAGCAAAGAGTAATAGTCATACTTCCTTTCTATTTTCCGTTTCAGCTACGAGAACGGAAAGTTGACAAAGTGTGTTTCTATGTGGCTCTTAATGAAATTCCTGAAGAATTTGTGTCAGATTTTACTGTGTATTTTCTGAGAGACACCAAAGGTATGTGCCCTGAACAACTGCAGGCTCAGCGTTTTCAGTCCTTACTTTAAACAGTACTTCACACAGAAAAGGTGATAGTGACTGGGGTTCAGGATAGTGCATATCCAGCTTAATTAACTGGGTATGAATACTCTCAGAGTGGAACTAGGAATCAGGAATGCTTTTCATATGAAATTTATGGAAAGTTACATATCTTCTGCATTTTACCAGCAAAGATGAAGCTTTCATGCTGCACTCAGGGGAACTAAGAATATTTAGTTACTACAACTGCTAGAACTGTGTAAAGTGTTTTGAGGATGAGGAGCTGTATATGAAAGTTAGATCATAAGGTGGTGATAAGCACAACTGGGGTATCAGACCTGCTGACCTGACTCAAATTCTGATACACAACAGCAGCATGTTTCATTCTGTCAGTTCATACTTTTGTCATAAAACCAATGACAATAGTTATTCCAGCATCTGGAGTAGCTCTGGTTCTGGTCGCAATCAGACCGCAGTATCTAGCTCTAGCCCCATAGGAAACAGCTTCTACGCTAAAGCAAACAGGTATTTCCACACTTATATGCAGGAACTATCAACAGTAATAACTCTATTAACTCTAATTTAGTGCCGGAGACTGGCCCCAGCATAAACATTTATGCGGGCTCACAGCAACATGCGTGGTTTAAAGCTACAAAGCATTTTGTATGTGCCTATTAGTTTCAGTTTCAGTTTTTCTAGAAACGTTTGAGACATTTGAGAAAAAAAGAAAATTATGATAACTTATTTGGTCATTTTATGGCAGTTCTGTGCAAGATTTTCCAGGTCTGTCTGTAGAATAGGAGTTCAAATCAAGGCCACTGTTTGGTTTGAACAGAAAACCATTTGGTAACTACAAGGCTAGATTGTAAAGACTTAGAGTCAGATGATGACACTTGAGTATTTTTCTACCCGTTCTGAAAAAGCATCTGCACTATTAAAACCAGCACTAGTTTTGGAAGTGACTTGCATCAAACCTAGTTTATTACAAACACAGTTTGTTTTATTGGACTTTTAACTTATTATGGAAAGGAGTTTATGGTTTGTGCTTTCTGTATCAAATAATTAGACTTATTCTTATTGTTTGTATACTGTTTAGAAAGAGTTACTGAACCTAATGACCTGACTGAAGCTAATGAGGTTCTTCCTAAAGTGATAAAGTTTGGTGTACTGACTGAAGATACTCTTTTGATGCTAAAGAATGCCATCTCACAGGTAAATGTGTTACAGTTTTTATATATGGAGTCTTGAGTGTTTCTATGAGCAATTTGCATATTTAGTAGTTTGCTGACTATGTGGGATATGCATAAGAAATACTAATATTTAATGAGTGACCTTCATATGCCAAAATGAAGTGTTTGTTAATCCTTATTTGATATTTTGTTTC